TCAGGTCATATAGTATTTAACAGAGCAATGGCACAAGGGAAAAAACTATTCCGATGTCTAGTTGTTTTAACATATGGTGCTCCTTCAAGAAGAACCTTCAAGAATTGTGTAAAGTGGCAAGAGACAGGACAGTTTGGCGCTTTTATCCATAGAGTCACCAGGAGCTGGCTATTACTCGATGGAACATAACAACATTTTACAGGCAAATTTCAAAATACTGTAAGGTTTCCTGTCTCTGAATGATTTTTTAAAGAACTACTTTACATTAATAAAACTTGATCCATCAGTGCTGAATGTTCTGCAGCCCACACTGAGTCTTACCTTTGAATATACCATTCCAGCCACCCAGCCGTTCACCCCATTGCATATACATACTTCCTCCATTATCTGAAGTAAAGTAAGTAAAAGTGTCATTCGTCAAGCCCTCTTTGTCAAGAGTAGCAAGAATTTTTCCTGCAGGGTTAAAAAAAAAAATTATCAGCAAATAGAAGATATAGCAATAACATTAATATCTGAACATATAAAAAGAATTAATATGCCATTAGCTACATATCATGAAGCTGACTTTTGGCTTTTATTAATTCTAAAATAAACATGGAGGTTCTTCAGCTGTTTTCTTCTTGAAATGCATTTCTCCCATTGGGGTTAAAAAAAAAGGGAGTGGGGAACAGTTGCCAATAAGTACCAGTAAGGGTCCCATTTTTAACTTCTGCATGTGAAGATCAAAGTAGCTTGTTTAACCCTCCATCCCCACTGATGAATGTTCCTACAAGCAAAAAGAACATGCCATCTGCATGGTACATGTTTACTACCAGATCATAAACATACATATTGTACATTCACAAGGTTATTTAAATGAACATAAGATAACTCTCCGTCCTAAAATCACAAAGTCAAATTGTCTCAGTTAAAGAAATTAGGGGAACTGCTTTCTATCTATCAAGACACAGTGAAACGTCTTTCTTCTCTGATTCTATAGACCAGGGTTCCTCAACCTCAGCAACTTTAAGATGGGTGGACTTCAACTCCCAGAATTCCCCAGCCAGCCAAGCTG